GATTTTTTGCTTATATTTTGTGGTATATTATTATTGTTTTCATTTTCATTATTTTTATTTTCATTTACATTATTTTTATTTTTATTTATTTCATTTATTTTTCCATATTCCATTTCACCAATTTTATCATCTGTTTCACCATAACTACTCCCATTATTAAATTCATCTGTTTCGCCGTAACCACTTCCATTACTAAATTCATCTATTTTTTGTCTACCCATTTCACTATCTATTTCATCATATCTATATGTTTTACCATTGATTTCATCATATCTGCTTATTTCACTATCCATTTCATCATATTTATCTATTGCACAATCAATTTCACCATCAATTTCGTCCATTTCACTGATTTTTCCATATCTACCTATTTCATCATCTGTTTTACCATCCATTTCATTATTTTTACCCATTCCTCTATTAATTTCACCATATCTACCTGTTTCACCATCAATTTCGTCCGTTTCACCATCAATTTCGTCCATTTCACCGATTTTGTCATATCTACCCGTTTTATCATCTGTTTTACCATCCATTTTATTATTTTTACCCGTTCCTCTATTAATTTCACCATATCTACTTGTTTCACCATCAATTTCATCCGTTTTGCCATTCATTTCATTATTTTTATCCGTTCTATTATACGTGTTACCCAAATCCTAAATTACTAGTATTTGGGATTTGGGATTTGGGATTTCGGCAAAAAATACTAATCATAATTTGGGATTTGGGATTTGGGATTTGGGATTTGGGATTTGGGATTTGAGATTTCGACATTTGGAATTTTGGCATTTGGATTTTGAATTTGGGTGGCAGGTATATGTTCTATTGATTTCGCCATATCTACCCGCTTCACCATCAATTTCATCCGTTTCATCATCTATTTCATTATTTTTATCCGTTCCAATATCGACTTCGCCATATATACCTGTTTCACCATCTATTTCATTATTTTTATCCGTTCCAATATCAACTTTGTCATATCTACCTGGTTCACCATCAATTTCGCCAATTTTGCCATATCTATGCTTTTCACCATCCGTTTCACCATCCATTTCATTGTTTTTACCTGTTCCACTATCAATTTCGTCATATATACTTGTTTCACTATCAATTCTATCATGTCTACCTGTTTCCCTATCCATTCTGGTATGTCTACCCATTTCACTTGCTTCATTACACTCACTTATACCTGCCACCCAAATTCAAAATCCAAATGCCGAAATCCCAAATGCCAAAATCCCAAATCCCAAATCCCAAA